ACAGTAATACAGGTAAGGAACACAGGTAATGAGAAAAGAAGCGTTAATAAAAAGAATATGCATAGACGGTATATAACATCATTTTTACCATTGGTTCTATTTCTTGGCATGGACATTTCTTCTGCAATTTATATAGAATGGCTTTACACAAAGTTTTATTTACACCGACGAGAAAACTACTCAGCGCTGTGTCTGTGAGCGTAGAGAAAATAAATGATCTTGTAGAGAACAAATTATTACAATTCCAGTTTCGTTTTTCAAGACTGGTTTTAAGACTCTTCTTACCCCCAAGTTGCTTAATTTGTTTATGTGAGGGCAACAGGATTTGGATGTCCAGGCTCAAAAAAAAGTAAAAATAAGAAAAAAGGAACAAAACTAATTATAGCATGTTTGTATATCTCACTGTATAAAATGGCCACTGACCTGCTGAAGGTATGTTTAAATGGAAAGAGGCTAAATTCAATAGGACAAGAGTATCTTTACAACTAATTGACTGGCAGGAAATATTCAAAAGGCGTCAATTGCATTTTATAACAAACAGAAACGTGCCAATAGGGCTTGTAAAATAGTTATTCAATTAGATAAGCTTGAAAATTAAAAGCTCACAACCAAAGAGAGCAAGACCAACCCCAAATCGTATTTTAACGGGACACTATAGACACCAGAACAACTACAGCTTATTGTACGGCATACAGCTTAATGTACGGCATACAGCTTAATGTACGGCATACAGCTTATTGTACGGTATACAGCTTAATGTACGGCATACAGCTTATTGTACGGTATACGGCTTATTGTACGGCATACAGCTTAATATATGGTATACAGCTTAATTTACGGTATACAGCTTAATGTACGGCATACAGCTTATTGTACGGCATACAGCTTAATGTACGGCATACAGCTTATTGTACGGTATACAGCTTAATGTACGGCATACAGCTTAATATATGGTATACAGCTTAATTTACGGTATACAGCTTAATGTACAATATACAGCTTAATATATGGTATACAGCTTAATTTACGGTATACAGCTTAATGTACAATATACAGCTTAATGTACGGTATACAGCTTAATGTACAGTATACGGCTTAATGTACGGTATACAGCTTAATGTACGGCATACAGCTTAATATATGGTATACAGCTTAATTTACGGTATACAGCTTAATGTACAATATACAGCTTAATATATGGTATACAGCTTAATTTACGGTATACAGCTTAATGTACAATATACAGCTTAATGTACGGTATACAGCTTA